AGGATACTAGTTTGTAAATCCCTGACACAGCTTCACAGCCCCCATTCACACTCATGCCTGTGTCTTCCACAAGGCATGTTATAAGGACTGCATATCATCCAACCCTTGTCACCACTCACCTGATCACCGAGATAAGTAACCCCGAAGGATCTTTGCTTTTGCTGATTTGGGCCCTGTACCCAGACATCTCTGTTCTCTCTCTTCCTTCCTTCACACCAAAACACTGACATGCACCAACTGCGCAGCTGTGGGGAAATCTCGTAGCCAATCAGCTCTTGCAGAACACGGCGGATACTCGTACTTGTTTTCGGGAGTTGTAGTTTGACATGCTATTCTGTGGCGCTGCAGCGATTCATCTTGAACTACTAGGACCATCATGCAACGCAACCCGGTTGTTTGAATAACTTTATTAAGCCACGGAAGGAACAAGTACAATTTCGGTGTGAAGGCAGGTTGGCATGGGGTGTGGTTAGATTAACTATGTTAGATAAGACTGAACATAGGAAATACTGCTGATGAGCGCCGCTCAGTTACCACGTGACCAGATTTCCCGAAGAAAGTCAGGGATATCTGGAAGCGGGGAAGTAGCGAATGACAGTGCTGGACCAATGAGTGTATTGAGTGTACTATATACCAATAAATCCACACTCTCTGTATCAGCTATGACTCAATAAAGTTTATGCATCTTGTAGAAACTGAACCTAAGACTGCCTGATGTTTTCACTAAATCACTTTTTTTTAAGTAGTACTGAAGCAAATTTGATTTGGTTTTAGTAAGCGAGGTTATAACCTATGTCATTTGTGTGCCATCTGTGTTTGGGGAGCTTTCCCTTTACATCCTGTTGCATAGTCACAACAGGAAGTGAGAGAATATCCTCCAAAGTAAGGAAAATTATGGTCACCAGAACTAAGATCACAACTGGAAGACATTCGATCTAGAGTATTTCTGTCCTGATGAAACCCAGCATTTGGTAATAACAGCCACCAGGACAGATGGGGTGATTCTCACTCACATACAGCTATAAAAACCTGACAGGTGCTCTAATCCCTCTCCAGTTAAACTAAAAAAAAGTTTTGGCTTCACTTGCACTTTAACCAAAAAAAAATGCCATTCATACATATAGCATATGCTGTTTTTGGAACAAAATCATAATAAATGATTTCTGTGGACATCACATAAGGCAGATCGCTTATAAGACCTAAGAGTAAAAGCATGAAATATACAAATCACGCTTGGGGGGCCATTCATTATTAATAGCACCCAAAACGCGCTAAGCAAGACATGTCTTTTGTGGGAAATGAATGGGCTGCATGATGCAGGACAAACATGCATAGACGCAATCTGCAATGTTGTCTGTGTTAATGGGGGGATAAATCACTGTAACTTTTGGAATCAACTCCCTCCGCCTATCATTCCTACTAATCTGTCCCTTATTTTGTTTTACTATAAATAAATCCAGGGGCTGCCATTGCTGACCTTTACTTCTGAAGGTGCTAGTTGCCTAGTTGACACAGCGATCCTATGTAGAATACAGTATATAGAAAAGCTCATTTTGCCTAAACAGTATCCTAAAGATTTAGCTTTTGTCTTTAATTCCTCCTAAAAATAACAGTACACTTTCATTTGGAAGTACAATAACAATACAATGTTATGTGAGATCAGCGTGAGATCTTCTAAGGCACTGCTTCCTCTGACTGCTATTCTTGTGACATTTGTCACTAAAGCACTGCTCACTGTTCAGCTTGCTTGAGAAGAAGCTGTAGACCTGAGGACCAGTAGTGTAAAGACCTCCCTGTGTTTACTTCATCCATTCTGTGGATCTAGGCTTCCTTCACCTCTCCTGCTGCTTATTTATCATTAACCCACTAGTTGTCAGGGGGAAACTTTGACATAAGAAAGAAAAGCTCAGATCCTCTACCAGGTTTATTGCTGATTTTAAAAAAGCATGCTGATAGGAAGAGAGACCAGAGTGACAGAGATATGAGCTCATCACTGTTCTGCATCGCTTTTCACTGTCCAGTCACAGGCTGGAGATGGTCCATACCAACCTCCCCGGTTGAATGATGCGGACTATCAGACTGAGGGCATCTAGTGGCAAAAAGTACTGCAGGGAACCTCTGTATTGAAGGCGAATGTTGCATCAAAAGCTTGTTTTCTTATTTTAGCTTTTTGTAATTGGCTATTTAACCATAGTTAAACAAGAGGCAACTTTCTTACACAAACAGCAATTTACATTAGATTGTAGAGAATATAGCCAACAACCCCACACTTTATAGCATTTGTCAGGACATGCCCTGCAGATATGAGCCGCCTTATAAAGATGGAGTAAAGAGTTCACTATTCCCTACCAGCTGGTCAGCGTTAGAGGTTCACTTTTCTTCCAATTAAAGAATAGAGCTTTCTGGCATAAAACAATAGGATCCCCAATGAAGTTTAAGAAGCACTGTTAGAGGAAATCTGCTTCACCGGACCCAGGAGACACACACAAATCTCAGGCCTGACCACCAGAGCAGTTATTTGGGAAATAAACTGGGTACCCTCCACCAGGAAACCACCAATCACAGGGCAGTCCCGAAAAATGTGCCTAAAATCCACAGGAGATGCCAGGCAGCTCCAACAAGTGGGAGACACACCCCAATAGATAATTATCTAATAGATAGTTTGGCTGGAGTATAATATATTTGATGCAGGAACTCATATTGAATATGTCTATCCCTAGTAAAATAAGGTGAGAAAGTGGATAATCCTAAGCATCCACCCAAGCCTCCCATCCATGTCAGGGTCAAAGACTATTTCAGGCAAAATTGTTCTTTGTCTGAGTACCAGCTGACTGTGACAAATGTCTGAGGCAATTACAGGGAGGTTGTCACCTAAGGGCTGTTATAAACAGAGGAGTGCCAGCCAATAGTTTCAACCCAGGCCAGACCCAAGTATTACATGTGTTTGTATGTATACAATAGCTTCTTTATTTATTAAGCTGAATTTCAGGCAAATATATTCCACATAAACCACATATCCATCTAGTTTGTACATTTATCATTTCTTGATATCAGACTCCTGTTCTCCCTATACAAATTGGGTGAGGAAGGAGGGCAGCTTCAGGAGCAAGGCAGGGCTCTATTGATAATTCATACTGCTGTTAGTTGAATGTGAGCATATCTACACTGAGGTGGGAGCACAGGATGACTGCACCAGTGTGCTTCAACTCCCTTGTTGCTCAATCACAGCATTAGGCAGGTTCTAGACTAGTCTGTATTGAGTAGTAATAGTAATAGTAACTAGTCTGTATTAAAGCAGTACAGTCTTCAGACAGAATCTATGACCTCACTGTGATGTTTAGCAGGTAAGTGTTATTTCTTGTAATAGTTTAAAACAAAAACAAAAATGCTGTTTACATGTGATTGAAAATCCAGCATTTGGATGGTCTCCATGTGAAAGCACCATTTAGTGAACAATTCTGGACACTTCTTTTTACTTTTCATCATATTCAAATAAAGGAAGTTTTAGATAACTTAGCTAGTTGCTGTTGGCATGTACTGTATGAGTTCATCAAATTCAGATAACAAGTCCAGTATGTAGCACAACTTTTTTTCTGTGGACTTTATTTATTTTATTCTGTTATGTCACCTGATCATGAACAGGCGATTCATGGGGAGCTATGATCATGGTTGGCACAGGACCTGCTGAACTGGTTCAGATGGTTTTTAAGCAGGGCTTTCCTGTTGGCATGGTGTGCCAAATGTATTTCAGAGCTTTGTAAGGTCAAGTCATCTGGTTCAGGTTACAAAGTAATGGGGTGTGCTCAGCCAAGAAGGGGGGGAGGTAATCAGTAGAGGTGGGGGAATACATTAAATGGGCTTAGCAGGGGGTACACACAATGGGAGACAGTTCAAACATGTTTATTGGGCAACTATATCTTTATCTACAAATTGCCACTGCAAAATATGCTGTTACAAACATGCTGTCCCTATTGGCTTTAGTTTAAGTTGGCTCTGATATTATTTTGTAACTGTCATGGAAACTTTGTCTCTGCCTTGAATTTAAAGCTGCAGTTGATGTAAAAATATGTGAAGTGTATTATCTGCCAACAGATTTGTAATTCTGTTCAGTCAGTCCTGTGAGTTTTAACCTGTCATACAACATAGCCAGTGACCTCACTTTCTCCACCTTAAAAGTAAAAGAAGTTAAAGTGACACTAAACTCAGGAGTCAAATCTTAAAAATGCATTCAAGTACCTTAACTAATAAGAAAATCTAATTCCTTCTGGAGGGTGGCTACTTTTATTCCTCATGGTTCCTGTGTGTGTTGTAAAGTAGCCACCATCCAAGCTCACTCCTGTGATGGACTACAATCTCAATACAAATTAGTAAAGTAAACATGAGATTGTGGTCTATCACAGGAGGGAGCTTGGAGCGGTGGCTACTTTACAACACACACAGGAATCATGAGGAACAAAAGTAGCCACTCTCCAGAAAGAAGGACAGTGTCGGCACCAATTCAGAGATGATTTGAGGATCTACAGCTGAGTGATACACAAATAAGGTAAAGTATTGTTAATAGTTATGGCATATGAATACATTTTTAAGATTTAACTCCTGAGTTTAGTGTCACTGTAAGAAATACAACTGGCTCACTGACCTCTACCCCAGCCTGCTGATGTCCTCCTTACTAGGGATGCCGAGTACCGATAGCGGAAGTCCCATTAAGGAAGCCAGGCGGCGTGTAATGACTCGCCACCTGGCTTCCTGATTAGCTGGGAAGCCGGGCGGCATGTAAAGACTCGCCACCCGGCTTTCCGATTAGCAGGGAAGCTGTCTCCATGCTCCCACGTCACCAGGTGACGAGAAAGCATGGAGCAAGCTTTCTGGCCAACCAGGAAGCCAGGCGCCGTGTAATGACGAGTTGCCCGGCTTCCTGATAGGCCGAGAAGTTGGCCAATGAAGAAGCCGGACAATGCATAGCCCGGCTTCCTGCTTGGTCAGTAAGCAGGCTCCATGCTCCCTCGTCACCAGGTGATTGGCCAGAAAGCCAGGGGGGGCATGTAATGACACACTGCACGGCTTCCTGATTGGCCGGGAAGCTGGCTCCATGCTCCCTCGTCACAAGTGACGAGGAAGCATGGATACGGCTTCCCGGCCAATCAGGATGCCGGGCAGCATGTAATGACTCACTGCCCGGCTTCCTGATACCGGAAGCTCAAGTATCGGGCTAGGAATCAGAGCATTTGGGCG